AAACTTTAAAAGAAAAATAAAGTTCAATCGAATCTTTCTCGGTAAGCTATTAGTCTAATCTACTTCACACCTTTCGAAACATGATTAACAACAGATTTTTCTGGGCAAAAAAGCAAGAATCTACAGATAAAAAGAAAATAAAGTGATTATTTCATCTGCGATAACTTCACGCTTCGATAAGTCTTATTTCAATCAACGGTGGATTGGTTCAACTGTGAAGTAGTAAACTCCTAATGATGTTCCATGCGACTTATTGCAAGCGATTGGTTAGATGAATGAGGATAGCTTACAATACATTACTACGTAGGTAATACCAATGGGTATCTTCGAATTAAAAAAAGGTACAGGATCGATAACAAGGAGTCTTTATGAAACGATTACTTGATTTTGAACAAAAAACGACAGTACTAGTACACCTTTCAGAAGCATACGCAAAAGAACAATGAAGTTTGTTTTTTTTTCAAATAATCAGTGAATTATTTAAAAACTGAATTCACTATATTCAATTCCTGTATCATATTCATTATTATAAGACTCTAACTTATGTATAGACGGAAAAACTACTAAATAAATGTAATCGTAAGAATTAATAAACATTTCGATCACTTAATGCGTATCTATTTACAGATGACGCAAATTATCGCATGTGTTCTTTTTATCGATGATAGTATTTAAAAAGATTTATATGATCTGTAAAACTATCCATGAATATATTTAAAATATAATTAGACTGCGTCATAGAGTCTTTCTGTTGTAGTAAAATGCATAGCATACTGACCGTAGTCAAACTTTGTACGTATACCATTTCGTTAATCTTGTGAATCTTTATAATTAATTTTTAAAAACAGAAATCTTAGACAGTCAAATGATCAATCGTCCTGTTTCATCTACAACGATATGCTATGACACATGCTTCAAAACAATCAAAAAACAATCGTCACGATATTTTTTATTGATTGAAAATAATAATGGATCTGAAATGGGAAGCGACTTTTCAAACACTCTGTATTTCATTATTCTCACAACTGTCTAAACAACTATCAGAATAACTAAGATAGAATAATATTTATTTGAAAAGTATTTATTTTAAGATTGAGTTGCTTTAAGATTTGCTATACTGTATCTGAAGCATTGAATTATAAAAATCTGTTTGATATAATCATACACAATAAGTGATACATTTTAATTTTATAGAATTAGATGTACAAAATAACAGAAAACCTAACAAACAATTGTCGGCAGTCGTTATCAAGACCGTCAAGTTTACCATTTGTCTTGATCACTTGCAAGTTCATTTTCAATGAATAATAACAATCGTTCAAAATATGAAACATGTGTATTATAAACCTCTATCAACTACCCTTCTGTTCATAACAGAAATGAATTCACAATAAGATAAGTAAAAGATAAAAATTGTTATTTACATAAGCATGTGAAAATTATGATGAAAATTAGATGAAAAGCTTGAACTTGATGATTAATAAAAAGTTGAAAAGAATTATTTGCATGATGAGTTTTTACATGTCGTAGTTGAATACGATTACGGACTAAATTTATATCTAAATTTTTTTTCGAAAATTTGAAAAACACAACACTAATATTGCTTAATTTGATTAAGTATCCGAGTTCAAAATCGGTTCTTGTTGATATTTGATTTGTATACTTCGGTAGAGTTCACACAAATAAAAACACTTATAAAAGGAAAGATCTATTATTGAAGTTTTTGGAGCACATCATCGCCGAACAATTCAAAGAGATCATGTTCTTTCTTTTTATTTTCATATTGTCAACTGTTTGTAATTTCTGACCGTGAAAAAAAGGATTAAAATATGTATTTGTGATTATTTTTTTCGATTGAATATTAATATAAAGAGTTGTCAATCTTTCATGAAATTCATGATTATGAAGTCTTTCCACATTGAAAAAATATAGTAAAATACACACTACAAAATGACTTTTAATTGACTCTGCTAGCTCATGTAGTAAGAAAAAAAATTAAAATTAATCGTAAGTTTCTCATAACCAAAAAAAAAGACAATAGTCAAGTAACCGAAGGTGAAGCATTCAGTTATTTGCAAAATCAATTGGAAGTCATTACATAGTAAAGTTAGACGCCAAACACGCCTTCTCCAGAGAAATATTTTCGTTGATTTGTTCTCTCTTTAATATGATAAAAGTAGTAAAAAGAGAAATATATCTAAAACGATGAAAGGCGAAAAATAATTCATCAGTAGTGTTGACTGTTATTCAAGTAGAATTAATTTTCTTCAAAGAAAGAACGAGTCAACAAAACTATTTCTCGATACAAAATGTATTTAGCGTCTAACATTAATTATTATCTAATTGCTTCAAAGTGAATTGGCGAGTGAACTGAATGCTTCACGTACGCTTCCTTAACTATTTCCTTTTTTTGTTAAACGAGACTCACGATTAATTTTTTTTTCTGAGGCACATTTTGAAGCTTATAATTTTCTTATTGCATGAGCTAGAAGACACAATTAAAATTCATTTTCTAGAATGTATTTTTCAAATATATTTTAGATATCTGAGTACTCCTATATTCAATTCAGATATTCAACTATCGAACTATTTAGTAGCAAAAATACAAGCACAATATAAGCGGCACTCTTTTGCAATACGTATCTATATGTCTTAGGTAAACACGCCTGCCGGAACTATTTCCAATAGCTACAGGGTCCCAATGTTCATGTTAACAGAGGGAGGCGCCCCTGGGCTGTCGGTAGCCACTCTGTCTTGTTCTTAGGCTAGCCCCCTATCTACAGGACAAAAAACTCTTCATGACGAACGAAAAAGATCAAATACAATGTGTAAATACACATAAGCCAGTTCTTTTTGCTGGATGGAACGTTCGATCGTGTTTCCAACGTGCAAAGAAAGAATTAATTGTAGATCAACTGGAAAAATATCATATTCAAATAGCCGCACTCAGCGAGTGCGGAATGTTTGATTCTGGAATATCATATATTGGCAATTACACATTCATGTGCCATATTTAACATTTATAAACAGAATGTCTCAGAAATAACCTACCAGAAAGAAAATCGTTTATCTCCACTGTATTCCAGCCAATTAGCCGATCTTTTTTTGATGGTAAAGGGGACTACCAAGCTTTTATTCACAAAGATAAAGTTTAAGAATGATGCTGGAAATCATTACTATCGACTTCAAGACCAACCTGAAGCATTTTCCAGTACGATAAAACAATATGTAACGTTTTCTATTGAGTTATTTCAATATTTTTCGTAATCTTCGATTTTGAATCATCCAGATCTTCAACTCTTTCTTTATAAACACTTGCTCGAATCTTTTTTAATAAAAAGTGTAACAACGTGAAGCTCGATGACTGCGAAGACTATGAAATCATTTCATC